AGTATCCCCAGTCTCCCCAGTCTCCCCAGTCTCCCCAGTATCCCAGTCTCCCCAGTCTCCAGTATCCCCAGTCTCCCCAGTCTCCCAGTATCCCCAGTATCCCCAGTATCCCCAGTATCTCCCGCAGCCTCTCGTGTGTGCTGGGCTCTGGCTGCTCTCTCCAGTATCCCAGTCTCCCCAGTATCCCAGTCTCCCCAGTCCCCCCAGTCTCCCAGTCTCCCAGTATCCCCAGTATCCCCAGTCTCCCAGTATCCCCAGTATCCCCAGTCTCCCAGTATCCCCATGTCCATCCCAGTCTCCCCAGTATCCCCAGTCTCCCAGTCTCCCAGTATCCCCAGTATCCCCAGTATCCCCAGTATCCCCAGTCTCTCTCTCCCAGCCTCTCGTGTGTGCCGGGCCCTGGCCGCTCTCTCCAGTCTCCCAGTATCCCCAGTCTCCCCATGTCCATCCCAGTATCCCCAGTCTCCCCAGTCTCCCCAGTATCCCCAGTATCCCAGTATCCCAGTATCCCCAGTATCCCCAGTATCCCCAGTCTCTCTGTCCCAGCCTCTCGTGTGTGCCGGGCCCTGGCCGCTCTCTCCAGTATCCCCAGTATCCCCATGTCCATCCCAGTATCCCAGTATCCCCAGTATCCCCAGTATCCCCAGTATCCCCAGTATCCCAGTATCCCCTCTCTGTCCCAGCCTCTCGTGTGTGCCGGGCCCTGGCCGCTCTCTCGTCCCCGTCCCCGGCCGATGTCTCGGTGTCGCTGTCTCTGCTCGAGCGCCTGGGGGACAGCCTGACCCGCCTGGGCCACTTCCAGCGCGCCGCCCACTTCTACCGCAGACAGGTACGGGAAATCGGGAAATCTGGGAAATCCGGGAATGCCGGCAATGCCGGGAATGCCGGGAAATCCGTTCTGCCGTTGCGGGATTCTTCACAGATTTTCTTCCTGATTTTTTCATGATTTTTCATGATTTTCCCTGATTTTTTCACGATTTTTCATGATTTTTTCACGATTTTCCCTGATTTTTTCATGATTTTTCCTGATTTTTTCCCTGATTTTCCCTGATTTTTTCCTGATTTTTCCTGGGTTTTTTTCTGGATCTTTTCCCCTGATTTTTTCCTGAATTTTCCTGATTTTTTCCTGATTTTTCATGATTTTTCATGATTTTTTCATTATTTTCCCTGATTTTTTCCTGATTTTTTCCAGACTTTTCCTGGTTTTTTTTTCCGGATCTTTTCCCCTGATTTTTCCTGATTTTTTCCTGATTTTTTTCCTGATTTTTCCTGATTTTCCCTGATTTTTTCACGATTTTTCCTGATTTTTTCATGA